CATCGCCTGAATAGCTGCAAGTGCGGTCACGCCCATCGCTTTAAGATAGCATAGTTTTGTCGATAAGAGGAAGGCAACACTACCCAAACCAGTTAAGCTGCGGTCACGCCATCGCCATCGCATTACGATAGCAACCACAGGTATCGAATTCGATTTCATGTCTTTCAATGTTACACTGCGCCCATGGAAAGTCGTGGATCAGAGGGTCACCAAAGCGAAAGGCGAGACGTGGAGGCAACGCATTGAGCAACTAAAGCCAGAAGGTAACCTCATGAAGCGGTTTCGTTTTACTGTATTTTGCAGAAGCAGGTAGGTTTCGGTTGATGCGGTGCTGACGCTACAGTGGAAGGGCGGAGAGAGAGGAGGGCAGGGGGGGGGGGTCGGGCAGAAAATATTCAGTTGAGCAGCAAACGCGCGCGCGCGCGCGAAAAGATCTTTGGCTTCGTTGCTGGTGAAGGGTTGTCGCTGAACGGTCATCGCAAAGAAACTTGACAGCTCTGGTTGCTATCGTAAAGCGATGGCGTGACCGCAGCACTTCAAAACCAAACCATACCAAAGCAGTTCTTATCTCTTTGCAGACAAGAACAAAACGCACATAGACGTCACCGATGTGTGTTTTGGATTGGCCAGATTTGGCCACTTCAAAAGCAAACCATACCAAAGCAGTTCTTGTTTCTTTGCTGACAAGAGCAAAAAGCACATAGACGTCACCGATGTGCGTTTTGGACTGGCCAGATTTGACACACCAAAACCAAACCCTAGCAAAGCAGTTCTCGTCTCTTTGAAGACAAGAGCAAAACGCACATAGACGTCACCGATGTGCGTTTTGGATTGGCCAGGGTTGTTGCTGAACGGTTATCGCAAAGAAACTCGACAGCTGTGGTTGCTGTCGTAAAACGCTTGCGTGACCGCAGCTTCAACTGTTCAAGCAATTAAATGGCCCTTGCTTGGAAGTGCGTTGACATCACTTTATTTAGGCGGATTTTAGTTGAGCAGCCACCCATGGTGGAATCGAAATCCCTTCTGAATTGTTATCGGGCAGCCATTCACGTCCAGGTTGACGTCGTGCTACGGAGCGGAACAGCACTGCGCAGCGGGCGAAGGTAGAACAATATCTCACCCAGAGCCGGAAGGTAACCTCATGAAGCGATTTCGTTTTACTGTATATTACGAAGCAGCTAGGTTTCGGTTGATGCGGTGTTGACGCTACAGTGGAAGGGCGGAGAGCAGGGAGGGGGGAGGGTCGGTCAGAAAATATTTAGTTGAACAGCAAACGCGCGCGCGCGAGAAGGTCTTTGGCTTCGTTGCTGGTGAAGGGTTGTCGCTGAACGGTCATCGCAAAGAAACTTGACAGCTGTGATTGCTATCGTCAAGCGATGGCGTGACCGCAGCGTCAGCTGTTTCACGCGATGTCATGGCCTTTGCTTAGACGTGTGCCGACATCACTTTTGTTAGGTCGATTTGTAATCGGGCAGCCACCTATAGTCGAACCGAACACTTCTGAATTGAATTCGCTTCCATGTCTTTCACTGTTTCCACATCGGACTGTGTCCACTGCCTGACAACATTGCCTCCAACAGTTGAAGCTGCGGTCACGCCATCGTTTTACGATAGCAACCACCGCTATCATATCAAGTTTCTTTGCGATGACCGTTGAGCTGCAACCCTTCACCGCCAGGCCTCCAAAGACCTTTTCGCGCGCGCGCGCGCGCGTTGTTGGGGGGTCAGAGGCAGCAAAGCCGAGCTTCGCCTCCGGGGGTCATGGCCTCGCCTTACTCCTCCAGGCAGCTGCTTACATGTCGCCAGGCTCTTCTTCAGCATCTCGCAAAAACGCTTTTTTTTTGAAAATTGCAAGAATTTTCAAAGGCTTCCACGATGACTGCTTTCGACGACAAAGTGAACTTGTGGTGCTCACGCATCATTCTCTGCAAAGCAACTAGTCACATGCCTAAGCGAGATGCGAACTCCAGCGAAACAAATACTCAATGCAAACATAGCTGGATATGCTACTATATCGATCATTAACGGCCTTGAATTGAAGAACTCTACATCATTTGAAGTTCTTCAGCGACTTACGTACGTTCCAAAACGAAGTCACAGCCATCCAAGCAACAACCACGCAGAATCAAAACGACACGCTCCGCAGAATCACTCTCTCACCCCCCGCGGGCCCTCGACCGGACGAGCCTACCTCATTTGAGCTCCTCTGTCTGTTTGCGGCCCTCCCGAAGCCCGCTGGAAGATACCAAAATTTTGTGTTTGAGGGCGCCCGCGCGGGCAACGCAGAATCAACCCTACAACAGTTCACGCGGACCCTGCAATCAAAAGGGTAAGCTCGGGAGTGGGTTTGCGGACATAGTTTGACCTCCCCTGTCCATCTATGGCCCTCCCGCGGCTCCCCTTGAAGAACAGTTTCGGCATGAAGGGTCGCAGAACGCAGAATCAACCCTACAACAGTTCACGCGGACCCTGCAATCAAAAGGGTAAGCTCGGGAGTGGGTTTGCGGACATAGTTTGACCTCCCCTGTCCATCTATGGCCCTCCCGCGGCTCCCCTTGAAGAACAGTTTCCGCATGAAGGGTCGCAGAATGCAGAATCAATCTGACACAGTTCATGGGGATACTGTAAGCCTTCAGGTGGGCTCAGGAGGGGGTTTGCGGACATAGTTTGACCTACCCTGTCCATCTATGGCCCTCCCGCGGCTCCCCTTGAAGACCCTTTACCGCAGGAAGGGTGTGCGAATGTGATTCTGCATTCTGCGACCCTTCATGCGGAAACTGGTGTTCAAGGGGAGCCGCGGGAGGGCCATAGATGGACAGGGGAGGTCAAACTATGTCCGCAAACCCACTCCCGAGCTTACCCTTTTGATTGCAGGGTCCGCGTGAACTGTTGTAGGGTTGATTCTGCGTTGGCCCCGCGGGCCCTTTGAAACACCAAATTTTTGGTTTGAAAGGGTATCTTCGGGAAGGGCGCAAACAAACAGAGGAGCTCAAATGACGTAGGCTCGTCCGGTCGAGGGCCCGCGGGGTGTGACACGGTGCTCCGCTGAAGGGTGTCGCCTTGATTCTGCGAAGGGCGTCGTTTTGATTCTGCGTGGTTGTGGCTTGGATGGCTGTGACTTCGTTTCGGAACGTATGTAAGGCGTCGAAGAACTTCAAATGATGTAGAGTTCTTTAGTTGACGTCGATTAAGAAACGATATGGATCGATGTTGTACACATGTCATGATGTGTAGCACAAGAAGCTTCTTTGTCGTCGAAAGCAGTCATCGTGGAAGCCTTGCAAAATTCTTGCAATTTTCAAAAAAAAAGCGTTTTTGCGAGATGCTGAAGAAGAGCCTGGCGACATGTAAGCAGCTGCCTGGAGGAGTAAGGCGAGGCCATGACCCCCGGAGGCGAAGCTCGGCTTTGCTGCCTCTGACCCCCCAACAACGCGCGCGCGCGCGCGCGAAAAGGTCTTTGGAGGCCTGGCGGTGAAGGGTTGCAGCTCAACGGTCATCGCAAAGAAACTTGATATGATAGCGGTGGTTGCTATCGTAAAACGATGGCGTGACCGCAGCTTCAACTGTTGGAGGCAATGTTGTCAGGCAGTGGACACAGTCCGATGTGGAACCAGTGAAAGACATGGAAGCGAATTCGATAGCTGTTCTAGGTGAGAAGATTCAAGTCATGGCACTGGATAACCGCAACACTAGGCTCTCTGTTCTAACGCCACCCTAAGCTTATCCCCGATGCACCACCAAACTCACCCTGCGGACAGAATGCTGTCGAGGCAGGCCGAACAACAACATTCTCGTGCTGGCCTTCAACTGGGCGGTTAAAAAAAGCATGATTGCTATCGTAAAGCGATGGCGTGACCGCAGCTTAAACTGTTGGAGGCTAGGTTGTCAGGCAGTGGACACAGTCCGATGTGGAAACATTGAAAGACATGAAATCGAATTGGATAGCTGTTCTAGGTGAGGAGATTCAAGTCATGACACTGCACAGCTATGGTTGCTATCGTAAAGCGATGTCGTGACCGCAGCTTCGGCGGGTTAGGGCGATCTTGTTACTACATGTCAAGAGGCAATGTCGTTCTATGTTTCGGTTGATGCGGTGCTGACGCTATAATAGAAGAGCGCAGGGGAGGGGGGGTGGGTCGGGCAGAAAATTGACAGACCCCAAAGCTGCACCTTCCAGTATCATCCGAGTAACGTAGATGCAGTGATTTGAAGCGGGGTCTGTGTGGCTGGGGAGTACATCAGGCGCAAAGTATACTTGCAATGTCAGAGAGGGCTCTGAATGGGTAGGGGAGTACACTTATGAGTTTTTGCTAGATTCGTGACTGCAGCCCGTAGCGTTCCGACAGAGCACGGCACCACAGGAAACAATAGGTTCACGGGCATGTGGTTGTGAACCTCTTGATTGTGCGGCTTTGGACACCTCAAAAACGAAAATCACGAGCATCAGCCGGGACAGGGAGGCAAGATTCCTACGCGTAGAGCGATGCCGCTGGAAAGGCTTTGATGGATTAAAACCAAAGCCAAAGTAAGAGAAACTTTTCGCCGGATCCAAACGAGCTACGCATACACTGACGACGCTGAGAGGCCTTGCTTGATTAATACCTAAGCCAAGGTATCAGTTTTCACTTGCATTCTAATGACTGAAACAAAAGCTTCTGTCTCGCAGCCGACTTGAATACTTGCAAGATTTGCACGGGGCCAGCTAGGCAGCATGAATTTGAGCATAGCAACACATGAGTGGTTCTAACGACATGCACCCGACGTCTCAAGCGACAGGAAGCAAAACGAACAACAATTGCGAAAGCAAGAGTACGACGATCCAGTACCTATAGGCAAGGAGCCACGTGATGCAGCCCTTCAAGGCCGCTTGAGCTGCACATTGGTCGCTGTTGTTTGGCTGCGTTTCGGCAGGCGTGTTGTGACCTTGAGAGCGATTGCATCCTGCACGAACGAAGTCCTTTGGATCGAGTGTCTGTCGCTAGTATCACAACAGCTTCAATATGGGTATGAAAGGAAAGTTCAGCAAGGGCTCCGGCGCTTGGAGGAGCGGCAAGTCCAAAGGCTTCCAGAAAGGTAAGCCTATGACAGGGAAAGCTTCAGAGAATGCATCGACAGAAGACTGGAGCGCGCCCGCCGAGACGCCCAGCACAACCAGAAGGATGATTGCGCGCAATTGCTTCGGCAAGGCTCTTTTGCGTCCTTATGCGAGTGAAGACCTTTCTTTCTTGTATCTCACAGATGAGAATTTCTTTCAGAAGTCGGAGCTGCGTTCCTATTTGACTGCAGAAAACTCCGAGCTCGACCGCCGACCCGCGTACGGCTGGTCCATGATGTGTGGGTCCCTGCGCAGTTTGATATCGGCCTTGCCCGGCGAAAAGCTTGTGGAGGGCATGACAGAGTTGAACCAATTGCTGGAGCGCGAAAAGAAGTTGGAGAAAGCGCTACAGAAGTGTGCCTGGGAGAGCTATAAGCAGCATCACAAGGATTTCAAGGCTTGCGCCGCAGAAATCCTGAAGGTTCTGAAGGAGAACTCCAAGGCGTTGCATCGGATCCTCCCGGTGATCATGACGGAGTGCGCGAAGCTTTACGGGGGAGCTGCGCAAACTCTCGATGGCGTGGTACACGCCGATGCTTTGCAGCGATGGCAGACAATTGTTCCGGACTGGCCCGAAGGCTCGAAGGCGCTGAAGCGTTGGCGCAAGGATAAACCCACCCTGCAGTCCACCGCCGAGTTCTTGGAAAAGGCCTATGAGGCGCGGAAGCACGTAGAGAAGTCCTGGCAGGTTCAGCAGGCTTGGCACGGCGATGACTCCTCGCTCGAATCCAAGGAGGACAGCAGCTCCGGGGCGAATCCTTGGGGACGCTACGGCGATCCCGCGTCTTCGTCTTCGGATGCCAAGAAGATGAAGAAGAGCAAGAAGGCCGGCAAGCCCAAGAAATCCGGAAAGAAACCGAAGAAGACCAAGAAGGTGAGCTCATCAGAGACAAGCGAAGCGACCGACCCTAAGCTCAAGAAGAAATTCGGCAAGAAGGCGAAGAAGGCGAGCTCCTCCGACACGGCTGACGCAGTGGAGACAAAGACCAAGAAGCACAAGAAGGATGCCGAGTCAGCGGATCCGCATTCCAAGGAGACTGCAAAGCCAATCGACGACACGGAGGCCTCGAAAGAGATCCAGGAGGTCTGCGACGACGAGTGAGCCGTGCAGAGAGAGTCTGCTGTGTCAAGTCAGTACTGTGCGAACGGTGTGTTACCGTTTCTGCTAGAGGTGTATGTTCGGAGTAAGCAGCCGGTCAGAGTCAGGAAGAAATTAGTTTCGGATTGCATGCTTTCCTCCGAGGTATCAGACGTTTGCCCGTCCCGACCGGTTTGCTTCAACAGTATGTGCCGCGGAGCAGCACGTGACCGCTGCCAGCTTGGCGGTCTTGAGGAGTGGCTTTCGATGTAGTTTGCAAAAATGCAGTCAACACTGGCGAGGTGTACAGAGCCTTCTCTTTGGCAAGCATCGCATGGCACGGCTTGGCGAGCAACCCAAAAGATGCATTGCCTAGGAGTGTCGTTCCCTCAGGCATCTTCCTATTTTTTGGCCGACAGAATCGCAGCGCTTGCACTTGCAGCTGTCACTCGAAGGGTACATTAACTTGCTGTGGGTGCGTGCCCAGGCCGTCCTGAGCACCGCCACTTCATGCGGCACGTAGACGAGGCTCGGAGAGGCGCGAGTGCAGGAACTTGCTGTGTAAACTCGCGGCAAAAAAAACGATTGCAGCCGAAGCGTCATGGAAGCATGCCTGTTGTGACCTTGAGAGCGATTGCACCTTGCACGAACGAAGTCCTTTGGATCGAGTGTCTGTCGCTAGTATCACAACAGCCTCAACATGGGTATGAAAGGAAAGTTCAGCAAGGGCTCCGGCGCTTGGAGGACCGGGAAGTCCAAAGGCTTCCAGAAAGGTAAGCCTATGACAGGGAAAGCTTCAGAAAATGCATCGACAGAAGACTGGAGCGCGCCCGCCGAGACGCCCAGCACAACCAGAAGGATGATTGCGCGCAATTGCTTCGGCAAGGCTCTTTTGCGTCCTTATGCCAGTGAAGACCTTTCTTTCTTGTATCTTACAGATGAGAATTTCTTTCAGAAGTCGGAGCTGCGTTCCTATTTGACTGCAGAAAACTCCGAGCTCGACCGCCGACCCGCGTACGGCTGGTCGATGATGTCCGGGTCCCTACGCAGTTTGATGTCGGCCTTGCCCGGCGAAAAGCTTGTGGAGGGCATGACAGAGTTGAACCAATTGCGCGCGAAAGTTCAAGGCAGCCGTGCGAAATCTTGAGGCTTCTCTTTCGTCCACAACAAATCCGCTTCGATCTCGGCGCATTTTTGCTAGATACCTCGGGTTCTGGGCGCCCACGCAGGCGTAGCTGAGGCAGAGACCATCCGGAGGCACAGGTTGTGGAGCCCCTTCTGGGAGCAGCGGCACTCTGCGTGTCCGCGGTTAGCAATTTCATCTTCCGATGCGATCACACCCTCGCTGAGCGGGTCGTACGGAGCCGCCCTCGCCAAGTAATCCACTTGATCATTGCTGGCTTCGCTCGCCGCTGGTTCGCGGGATAACTGGAGCGCCTGCATGAGCTCCAAGAATCTTTCTGCGGCCGTCGCTGGAAAATTCAGCAAGTCGGGTATCTCGAAAATATGGTCCCACGAGAAGCTCTGTTCGAGCAGGGCCTGCACTGCTTGGCTGCTACGCTGTTCGGCCTCTGTGATGGCCTTCTTGTCTGGTTCCGCTCGCAGTTCCTCTTGGAACATACACATGAAAGCGTTGCCCAAGGGCGCCGCAGCGGGCACGATGCTCTCTGCTTCTGCTTCCGACAACTGTTTGCTTTCTGCGTTGGAGGACTTCGTCTTGCGCTGTTGTGCGCGCAATGCGGACCATGCTCGAGTCCACAGGACGATATCTAAGTGCTTTCGCCAGATATGAAGCTGATTGGCGTCAAGCACTTCCGCTGCTTGCCGTTCCATCCAGCTGACATTATCGCATCTTTCGAGTAATTGACCGAACACATTGTGCAATCGCTCGATAGCTTCGTCGGCTTGCTGCGCACTCACTCTGCCCAAAGACACCTCGGGCACCAGCTGGTAGACCTCTGTCAGCGTCGCTGTCGATTTGGCCAAAAGCTCCTGGCTGTGTAAAGCTATTACTACGGAATGGACAGAAGAAACCATTGGTCGTATGCGCCTTCACGGTCGAGGCCTCTGTGATTTCCGCAGCGGCGGTGTTGCCGCAAAGCGCCTCACGCTTTAAAGTTGATATTACAACCAAGAGCCAAGCGCACGCTGAGTGTGCGACGTGCTGCAGCCTGTTTCGCTGCCGTCGACTCATTGACCACGTGTTCACACTGCCTCATTAATGTACTTTTGCAACTATTCTATTCTGAGTTTCCAAGGACAGTGCCAAACGCAGTGCCCGGAATCAAGGCACGAGCCTTCGCCAGCGGTTTGCACAGTTGTCGCCGACTCCTTCACACCCGAGTTCGCGGCCGCTCGACTGCGATGTGGGCCTGAGTCTCCTGAACCGGATGCGTGCTGTATATGTGCGCTTTCATGCACTTGCTCACTGAGAAACGTGCGCTGCAGCACATAAGCCAAACTGAAAGGTTTCTCCTTGCAAACTTTACCAGCACACGCGTGCCATGTACGGAACTTCGATACTCGGGCCATTACCATGTCGAACTTGCTCGTCATATGGCCTATTTCAGCATATGCACTGGGCTCTCAATGCAGCACCTTCTGGGCCACCGACCCTGAATGACGTATGTGACATCGAACTTCTTGTCCTTTCGGGCTCAACCGTGCAACGACTCACAGACGAGCCAGGACTCAGCCTCGGCCGCATGCAGGACCCTGCCGCACTTGTCCATTTTCCCCCCTCGAGTTTCCCGTCGAACCGAACCTGGGCAGTGTCGCATGACAAGTTCTGCTCTTGTATATGTTCCAGTCACGGATAAGACTCTGGCCATGGCAGACCTGACGCGACGGGTATTGCGTTCGTCGCCTGTATCCAGCCTGGCCGGACATATTATCTCTTTTTTTGCACACACCGAACATCGGCCTCGCGGCTCTGCGTGTACGTATCCTCCTTTTGTTGCGCGCCTTGTCAAAACACAGGAAAGCTTTTAGGTTAAACGCGACAGTGCACTTGACGCTGCCACGATCAGCTAGCTAACGGGATGATTGCAAAAGTTGGAAAAAAGGTGTCGACAGCAGACCGTACTGTCACATTCCGCAGCGCACCTGACGCTGTCTTGGACACTGTGACCTGCACGGAATTCGCGGCAGTGAAAGTGAAGTATGTCTACTGAGCTTTGCCTCCGCTTGCTGTTCCGCACTCATGTGTTTCACTCGCCGTGTCATAAGCGAACGCGGCAGGGCTGCCATGTCTGTATGAACCGCTGCCTGCAAGCGCTCCAACTTGAAGGAAAACATCGGCGCCGATAGGTAGGCTATCGCCTCAACCCCGCCTGGATCGGCGTCTTCCTGGGGACCTGCGTCAGGCGCCGTGCGCGAGCAACTATGATCCAAGCTAGACCAGTGCCTTGAACCCGACTCTTGCATGCATGTGGTGGTGGCGAACCTCAGTGGTGCAGTTTCTCTAGTCGGTTAAACGAGGCGCCGCCCATGCCTTCTTCGGGGCTGTGCGTCTTGGTGCAGAGGCCTGCGTCGAGGTTTTTCTAACGATACCTGACTTAACCACGGAAATTGAACGAGCCAAGGTCAACCTCAAACCTTGACAGCGCCTTGGGCGGATGCTCCACGCCAGCCTGCGTATCAGAAGTGTCGTGCATGTCATGCTTTCTTCGCCGTTGGCCTGAAGCCAGGCCAGATAAGCCGAAACCTCGGCACTTGCTATCTGTTTCTATACATTCCGGGATCAAGCCCCTGGCAGCCGCGGTTTCGATTCCGTCCTCTCCGAGATTTGAGAAGCGACAAGCAAGGTGCAAATTGCGACTCCTCGCAGAAAAGGCCCCACTCGAAAGCCTCGAACGGACTGCATTCGACCTGCTGACGGACTTTTTCTGAGGTGCTTGCGAAGTCGAGGTCTGGCTCTTCATCGTCGACCTTCGTTAAACGAGGGACTTGATCGACCATGACGAGCGAGCCTCGTGTTCTCAAATTTCAGGAGCCAGCGACTTCGAAGGTCCATTCCTCTTCGACCTGAATTGCAGTGCTGCGTCTGCAAGCGTAGGACGACTCCGAAACTTCGTGCCGCGCGAGTGGGTTCTTGCCGATCTCCTGAGCAACACTCCGTTTGGATTGTCCAACACCTGTCGGTGTCAATAGTCCTTCTTCTTCCAGCGTCCTAGAAGCAGGCATACCTAGACAAGCGGCACTAACAGCGAATCTCCATAGTCACACTAACCGGCAAGATGCTGCGATGGCAATTGCGAAAAGCAGTCGCGCCCACGGCGGCGCGCCGTAGAGCGCCTGGGCCAACAACAGGACATATACAAAATAAGCCTCACTGCTTCAAGTCCGCGGCCATACACAAGATAGCGACGATCAGCGCCGTCATCCTCCCTGCTCCTGACGAGCTCGTCCATATAATTTGCTTCTCGTGTCTCTGCTTCATGTCCTCGTTTCGAAGCCATTTCAAAACGAAGTGCTCCGGAGGTTTGCAAAAGTCGCTGACCGAAACGGCTGCGTGGTCGCGTGTCGGCAACATGCAAAGAACCGACCCGTGGCTGGTGCTGCTCCTTTTTTTCTCTACTAGCGCAGTATCCAGGCGCTAGGGTCGGCGGGCAACCGACGAGGTGAAATCAATCAGCAGTGCTTATGTCTGAGAGTTATGTCGATCAATCAACACGAGCATGTGACTGTCCGAAGGTTGTCATGCGTTCGGATACCTATTGCCAAATGTTCAAAAGAGACCGAGACCGAGAAGCTTGCCAGGAAATCATGCAGATGTTCGCCACTTGCATCTACGGAATTGAACACTGTCCGAACTCGGCATCATGCTCCTGCGCTTCTCGAACAACTCACAAACAAGAGCACACATTGCACGTAATTCGCATTTTTGTCGAGAGTCCTCACCTCACAACCATTTAGTGGTTCGCCCGATCGCTGCAGACTGAGGCCCTCGCGGCTCCCTCCACACTGCACATCTTTCCCTGCCATAGGCTTACCTTTCTGGAAGCATTGGACGTGCCGGTCCT